TGGCAGGAGAAAGTGCGGTGAGGAGGGTAGAGGGTAGAGAGTAGTCTCGGTACTCCTCTCAGAGCTCCAAGGCATCTTCAGGTGCTTACTTCATCCTCCCCAATGCCTTTCACCTCTAAACACTCCATGAGACTTCCACTGCTGTCTGAGTCCTTATCCTGGCGTCACCCTGGCACTTCTTTCTTCATAGGAGGATCAGAGAAGGCTCCCCCTATGGCCATCTTCCCAATTGGCGGCTCCTGTCAGTCATTGTCAAGTGTGGAGATGACCTTCGGCAGGAGCTGCTGGCTTTCCAGGTGTTGAAGCAGCTGCAGGTGAGGAAAGGAAACAAAGACGCACAGGGAAAGGGGCAGTGAAAAACTGGGTGCAAGCCCAGCGCTCCAGGGACCACACAGGCTTTCTCGGGGAGCTCTCTACCCAGGTCTGAATGGGAAAGTTAAACTGAAACTGGCTCGTCTTTCCCCAGAGAACCACAGCCACATGATGCAGAGCTCTAGGGCGGCCTCTGTTGGTTCTTTCTGGAGCTACATCTGCTCTGTTCTGACCACTGAATGTCAGTTTCTTTTTTTGACTGAGGAGTGTGATTTCACATAGGGTCTCACGTGGTTCAGGCTAGCTTCAAACCCAGTTATAGCAAAGGTGGCCTTGCGCTCTTGATCCTTCTGCCCTCACCTCCCAAGTGCTGGGTTGTATGCGTGCACCACTGGGCTTTAGGTTTGTGCCTGAAATCAGAACTTCCCAAATGATCTGGGATGGATGGATTTATTCTGTGCTCAAGCATTTGGGTTTTGTTTTGTCTTTTTTTAAAAATATTTATTCGTTTTTATTCGTGTGTATGGGTGTTTTCCATGCATGTATGTGTACAGTATCCATAGAGACCATAACAGGGTGTCCGATCCCCCAGGAACTAGAGTTACAGTTGTGAGAAGCCACATGGGTGGTAGGAACTGAACTCAAATCCTAAGCAAGAGCAGGAAGTGCTCTTAACCCCTGAGCCATCTCTCTAGCCTTTGCTTTGTCTTTTTGAGACAAGGTCTCACTCTGTAGTTCAGGTTTACCTGGAACTCATTATGTAGTCCAGGCTGGCCTTGAATTCATGACAATCCTCATACCTCAGCTTGAGTAATAGGATTACAGGTGTGAACTGCTGGGCCTGGCTATACTGTGTTGAGATACTGATCACCTGGTCTGCCTGGGTTGGTGACCTGCAAGAGGCTTCACGTGTTCAATCCAGTGCTTTGTAATATTTGTAGTTTTTGTTTCTTTTTTTTTTTTTTCTTTTGGTTTTTCGAGACAAGGGTTTCTCTGTGTAGCCTTGGCTGTCCTGGAACTTGCTCTGTAGACCAGGCTGGCCTCAAATTCAGAGATCCACCTGCCTCTGCCTCCCAAGTGCTGGGACTAAAGGTGTGTGCCAACACCGACTGGATTGTTTGTAGGATTTTTGAGGGGTAGAGGTGGCTTGAACTTTGTCCTGTTTTTGATTTTGTTTTTAGAAAGGATCTCACTTATAGCCTCAGCCAGATGTTCCTTGCTTTGTACCCTCTGTACTCTCAGCCAGTGTCAACTGTCCTTGTACCACACCCCACTACCTCCTCCCTCAGCTTCCCAATACTAGGGTTACAGTATGTGACACATGACTTAAGTACTTGCATTTTTTGTTTTTGAGACAGGATCTCATGTAGCTCAGGTTGACTGCTGACTCTCACTTGTAAACATTGACCTCAAACTCCTGATCCTCCTGCCTCTGCCTTCCACATATTGGAAATACAGGCTTATGCCACTACATCCAGTAGTATTTTCATTTTTATAATTTATTTTTATTTTATGTGCATTGGCGTTTTGCCTGCATGTATGTCTGTGTGAGGGTGTCAGCAGCTCTGGAACTGGAGTTACAGTTGTGAGCTGTCATGTGGGTGCTGGGAATGGAACCCAGGTCCTCTGGAAGAGCAGCCAGTGCTCTCAACCACTGAGCCATCTCTCCAGCTCCATATTTTCATTTTCTAGAGATGCTTTCTTTGCCCCTTAAATTTTTTATTTTTTTTTTATTCAAACTTACATTAACCTCTATGTGTAGTTTTCTCCCTTTGCCAGGCCCTGGACTTCCTTTTCAAACTTCCTGGTTCTATTATTTGTGGTTGCATACACCTGTAATCCTAGAATGTGTAAAGTGGAGATGGGGATCAGGAATTCAAGGCTAGCCTGGGCTATATGAGTCCCTGTCTCAAAAAACTTCCTGGTTCTTAGTAGGTCAGTGAGTCTTGCTTAATGTTCTTCAAGATACCAAGGGAGAGGTTGAGGAGAAGGAAATTTTATTTATTCTTCTCTGGTGTGGAGACAGATGAGCCACTCTTGGTGCCTTTGTGTCTCTTCACAGTCCATTTGGGAGCAGGAGCGAGTGCCTCTCTGGATCAAGCCATATAAGATTCTTGTGATCTCAGCCGACAGCGGCATGATTGAACCAGTCGTCAACGCTGTGTCCATCCACCAGGTGAAGAAACAGTCACAGCTCTCCTTGCTCGATTACTTCCTACAGGAACATGGCAGTTATACCACTGAGGCATTCCTCAGTGCCCAGCGCAATTTTGTGCAAAGTTGTGCTGGCTACTGCTTGGTCTGCTACCTGTTGCAAGTCAAGGACAGGTAAGTGGCTTGTGCCCTTCATCCCTTCCTTCACATGTAGCTCCTCAGCTGATGAAACAGCATCTTTTTTAGGAAAGATTTGTTTGTGTGACATTAAGCCAAAGAGGCAGACTGATGAGTGCTGGCGGAAATGGGGACAGAAGCAGAGGACGGAGGAAAGACTTGAAGGAGTAGAGAAAGGGTGAGGGAGAACACGGGCAGATCTCCCCTGTGGAGGAAAGAGGAGGAAACGTTCCATTGGGATCAAACCTCGGGTAGCAGGCAATGACACCAGTCCTTCATTATGAGACTGAAGAGTTTGGGGGGGTTTTGTTTTTGTCTTTTGAGAAAGGGTCATTTTATGTATCCCTGAGTTCCTGGAACTTGATATATAAACCAGGCTGGTCTTGAACTCACAGAGATCTTCCTGCCTCTGCCTCCTGAGTATTGGGATTAAAGGCCTTTGTTACCATGATGGGCAAGAATTTTATTTTGCAGGATAGGAATGATATGTTCTGATCTGTAGATGCCATATGGTGCTGTGGGTGAATTGAAGGTTAGTGTGACTGTGTCCTTAACAAGAAAGCAGAAGATAATGGAGCCTGGCACAAAGGTAGTCAGTGACTCAAAACAGAAAGGAAAGGATGAGGGAGACCATGGAGATAAACTTGAAATCCCCAGTCACAAGCTTTCCTTTCTTCTCATTCCAACCTGATTTCCCAAACTTTTGTTTTTTATGTGTATGGGTGTTTTTCCTGCATGTATGTGTATGCCTAGTGCCAGTGGAAGCCGTAAGAGAGCATGGGATCCTCTGGGACTGGAGTTACAGGTGGCTATAAGCCTCCATGTGTGCTAAAAAGTAACTCATCCTCTGGAGGAGCAGCCAGTGCCCTTAACAGTGAGTCATCTCTCCAGTCCCCAGTTTGCACAGTCTTTAAGTATCTCTTGTTCTGCCTAGACTGTCATCTCGTTCACTACCACATGATCTTTACGAAGCCCGTCGTCTTCACATAGGTGAAGCACTGATAATGGCACTACCTATGCTCTGCAGTCTTAGTATCTCCAGGCAAGTGGTTTGAGGTCTGGGGCCTGAATGCTCCTGTTGGTTGCAGCTCTCCCTGGCAAGTTGGCTTAGTGGTTAAAGCTATTGCTCAGTCCCTGGAACCAACTCCAGAGTTGTCAACTGACCTCCACACGCACACCCTGACATGTTCTGTAGCATGTGCACACATACAAATATACACACATGGTAACACTAAAAAAAATAAATTTTAGAAAGAAATGTGACAGCCAGGGCTTCCAGTGACACGGCAACCCATTAACATTAGTCAGGCAAGCAGCTTCTCGGAATCTAGCATTATCTATTTAGTGACTGTATACCACATATGACCATGGCCTCACTACATTAAGTGAAAACCTTGTGAAGTGAGTGCTCCCTCACGAGGAAGCTAAGGGTCAGTAGTAGCTTTGGGAGCCTATGGTCATTCCACCCTGCCAGGCCTACCAAGTAAGAAGGGCTGTGTGTGTGTGTGTGTGTGTGTGTGTGTGTGTGTGTGTGTGAGAGAGAGAGAGAGAGAGAGAGAGAGAGAGAGAGAGAGAGAGAGAGAGAGCTGTAGGAGTGTAACCATAAGGATCTTGATGGCAAGCTTTAGACTGTCCTGAGCTTCGGGATTTTGAACCCAGGATTTTGAAGCCCAGGGCTCAGCTACAGGACTGAGTAAGTGAGGAACAGGGAAGCTAGCACTAGTTAGATCCAAGGAATTTCACTTTAGAAACTGATATGTAAAAATAATAAAACACATAATAAATAACACTACCAAAAGAAAATGTTTGGATGAAAGTCTGTCCCTTTGGTGTGGCAGGAAGTTGCTGACCGTTTTTCCCCCAATGTACGAGTTTTACCTGCATGTATGTCTGTGCACCATGCACAGTGTGCCCAACAGAGCCAGATAGCATCAGATCCCTTGAGAACAGAGTTAAAGATGGTTGTTAACCACTATGTGGGTGCTGGGAATTGAACCTGGGTCCTCTGGAAGAACAACCAGTGCTCTTCACTGCTGAACCATCTCTCCAGCCCCTGATGAACTATTCCTACTAACTTAAAAAAGAATGGATGTGAGTTGGTGTTGTAGCTCAGGCTGAAGAATGCTTTGCTTAGCATGCACAATGCTCTGGGTTTGATCTCCCATTTAACACATTAACATTGGGAGGTACAGGCAGGATGTTAAAGATCATCCTAGCTACATAGGGAATTTTTTACAAAAGAAAAGAAAATACTGGGAATCATCTCACAAGATGGAGGCTATAAAGAAAAGAAAGTTGTTGGTGTTCATCAACTGTAGGCCTAGGCTCCAACTTATTATAAAATCACACACACTCGCCAAGCAGCAGTGGCGCACGCCTTTAATCCCAGGAGTCCGGAGGCAGAGGCAGGCAGATCTCTGAGTTCAAGGCCAGCCTGGTCTACAAAGTAAGTTTTAGGACATCCAGAGCTGTTACAGAGAGAAACAAACAAAAAAATCACACACATTTAACATGGTCTCACAAGACAAAGCAAAATTGGTCATCCTCACCAACAACTATCCTGCTTTAAGTAAGTCTGAAATAGAGGACTGTGCCATGTTAGCCAAAACTCGTCTATCACTACAGTGGCAATAATATTTGGGCATAGCATGCAGAATATGCTACAGAGTATGCACTGCCACCAATCAGGTGATTTTTAATATCAATATAAGCCTGCCACAACAAGCCCAGGAAGAGTAAGCCGTTCCAATTTTTTCTTTAATAGAATTTGCCAGAGCTTATTTTTTTTTTTTGTTTTTTTTTTTTTGGTTTTTCGAGACAGGGTTTCTCTGTGTAGCTTTGCGCCTTTCCTGGAACTTGCTTTGGAGACCAGGCTGGCCTCGAACTCACAGAGATCCGCCTGGCTCTGCCTCCCGAGTGCTGGGATTAAAGGCGTGCGCCACCACCGCCCGGCCCGAGCTTATTTTTTATTACATTTTTATTTTATGTGTGTTTTGCCTGCAAGTATGTCTGCACACCATGTTCGTACCTGGTGTCCACAAAGGCCAGAAGAGGGTGTCAGATCCCCTGGAACTGGAGTTACAGTGAGCTGCCACATGGGTGCTGGGAATCAAACCTTGGTCCTTTGAAGAGCAGCCAGTGATCTTTACTGCTGAGCCATCTCCCCAACACTGCTTTTTAAAAAGGGGGGTGGGCTGGGGAAGACTGAGAATGTAGCTCAGTTGGTAGAGTTTATCTAAAATACATAAAGACCAGGGTTCAGTCTCCAGCATCCCATAAAACCAGGCATACTGGCACACACTTGGGAGATAGCAGAAGGAAGATCAGAAGTTCAAGGTCATCCTCATATGTTCCAGACCAGCTTGGGTAATGAGACTGTCTCAGAATAAAAAACAAAAAGCAGCAAAGGCATATGGACTTATTTTTCAGGTCACATTCCATGTTTATAGCTTGAATATGGAAAGTTTTTCTCATTCATAGCTGAGGCTACAAAGAGGTAACCAGCTTTCGGTACTGGTGCAGTTATGGGTCTCTCTGCCTATGAGGGGAAAGTTAGCTCAACAACGGTGGGACCTATTTGGGCCAAAACAATAATTTTCATATATTATTTGTTAAGATTCACTTCCTCCTTTTATTTCTAGAAAATGTGCACTCTATTATTCCTGCATTAAGATCTTAGTAGGTCTGGAGGGAAATCTGACAAAACCATCACTTGGGGGAACTGAAAGAGCATGTCCACTGCACTGGTGCAACCAAGAAACGTACCTCCTTTTATTAAGTGTGCTTCGGGGATTTCTAATAGCATGAATTTCCAATAAGTGGAATTCGTTATGTTCTGAGTTTTAAACGGTGAAATAGGAATGCACTGTTTAATTTATCCCCAAAAATGTCACTGTCAAGACATAAGAAAACAGAAAATTAAGACAATTAAAAACAAAACAAAAACCCTTCATTTACAAAGGAGCCCTAAGGCAGCTTTCCAGGTAGAAGCCATCCCTGGTAGTTAAGAGAATGAGAGAAACTGCCTATTCCTGGCTTTGGGACATTGGGGGCTGGGCTGGGGGTCATCTGTTTGCTCTGGCTCTCTGGATGGTGTGGGCATGCTACTTTGTCAGTGCTTTCCACAGCTGGAAGGACTCAGGTGGTCGTGCTCTTTGCACCCCTCCTCTTTGAGCCAGCCTAACCAACTCAGACAAGATGGCCCTCAGATGGGGCCTGAGTGCTCAGCCTAACAAAGCTTCTATTCATAGTGGAAGGCTGGTTATGCAGAATAGGCCAGGCCTCACATGCTTAGCATGTTAATTGTTCTTCCTAGCCATTAATGTGGGACTCACAAAGACCTGGGATTTATCCCCTTAACTCTTCTTCCCTGCAGCTGGCCTGTAGTATACTTCTCCTAAGGTTCTTTATGTAAGTGATCTGCCCCCACATTGTTGTTGTATACTTAAACTCTTCTCAGCCAGACATGATGGCTCAGTTGTATAAATCTTAGCATTTGGGATGCTGAGGCAGGACTGCCATGAGTCACAATAGTAAGTTCCAGACCAGCCTAGGCTGCAGTGTAACAGTTCTTTAAAAAAAAAAAAGGTGGAGGGAGGGGAACTGGGGAGATAGTTCAGTCCATAAAGTTATTGCTATAAAATCAAGAGGACCTGAGTTCAGTCCCCAGAACCCACATTAAAAAGCCAGGTGTGACAGCACAAGCAGACACCAAAGGATTCCCTGGCCAAGGCTGCTCTAGGAATTCCAGTATTTAGGATGCAGAGGCAGGTGGATCTCTAAAAAGTCTGAGGTCAGTTTAATGAGTACAGACCAGCCAGGCAGGGCTACGTAGTAAGACCCCGTCTCTCAAAAAAAAAGTAGATGGCTTCTAAGGAACAATGCCTTAGGTTGACCTCTGGCCTGCACATGTGTATATCCACATGAACATGGATACACACAAATACAAAATAAGTTATACTCATCCTGCTTGCTTCTAATTGGTGTTCCGTACTGATAGGGCTTTGGTTCTACAGTGGTATGATTAAAAATTAAAATAATCCCAGCACTCAGGAGGCAGAAGCAGGTGACTCTGTAGTTTGAGGCCAATTTGGTCTACCGAGTGAGTACCAGACCAGCTGGGGCTATATAGTGAGACCCTGTCTCAAAAAAATAAAACAGGTAAATTGATGCTGAATGAGGGCTTCCCCCTATTTAGACAGCTAGCTACTGGAGACATCTGTGTTTACTACTAAGTCAAGTTCAAGTTTGGGTACTAGAAGTATAATTTTTGGGAAATTAGCATGTATTGCAGTCTGGCCTCAAACTCTTTGTATTTGAGGATGACCCTCAACTCAGGCTCCTCCAGCCTCCACCTCCTAAGTGCTGAAATTATAGGCAAGTGCCATTATTCACATTCAGTTTATGTTGTTAGGGACAAAGCTAGGAACCACGACTTCCTGCATGATAGGCAAGCACTCTACCAACAAAGCTACATGCTCAGCCCTCTGATAATCTTTAAACTATTTTTATTAAGCTGATAATTGAATTTCATACCCAGTTTTTCTTTGTAGTTTTCTGACTTCCTTTTTGTTGCTAGCTTTAGGTCCTAGGAAATTGACCCAGACTTGTAAACAACAGGAAACATGGCTGGGGCCTTCCCTGTCCCGTATGGTGAGGCCAGTGTTGCAGCTTGAGAGCTACCTAAGCCAAACTTACTGTTGCCTCTTCCTCCTCCCCTTCCTCAGACACAATGGGAACATCCTTCTGGACGCAGAAGGTCACATCATCCACATCGACTTTGGCTTCATTCTCTCCAGCTCACCCCGAAACCTGGGCTTCGAGACATCAGCCTTTAAGCTGACCACTGAGTTTGTGGATGTGAGTCAAAAAAGAGGTGCTTCCAGGGGTCACTGTGTTCTTCCTGAGAGGAAGAGCTGATGGGCTCCCCCAAATAAGGAAGGAACAGAACAGAAATGGCAGTAAGTCAGTTTGAGGCAGGATTTCCTAGGAGCTTTCTTGTGAAAATAGTGAAATCTACCATGATTGCCTTAAGTTAGTTCTAGGAGGCCCACCAGAATTCCTGTGCATACTCTCGACTCACTTTCAGGTAATGGGCGGCCTGAACGGCGACATGTTCAACTACTACAAGATGCTCATGCTGCAAGGGTTGATTGCTGCTCGGAAGCATATGGACAAGGTGGTGCAGATTGTGGAGATCATGCAGCAAGGTGCGGCTGGGGGGCCCAGGGCCTGGGCTGCCTCAGGTTGAATTGCCTGGAACTTAGAACTTTTAGGAAGTTGAGCCCACCTCAAGACTCAGGTTGGGGAGGGTTTCTCAGGGGGTTTCCATTTCCCCTTTAGAACACTCTTCTTCACTGGGGCGGGGGGGGGGGGGGGGGGCAAGAGGAAAGGAACAGCAGGAAGCTCTTGGGTATCCTCATGGGGAAAACGCCCATCTTCAGCCTCCTGGTCTTTCCAGTCTCCTCCTCTGCTAATTCTAGTGCTTCTACCCACTTTCCCCGTCACACTTGACCTGACTGCCCTGGCCTCAGCCACCACTTCAAGCTACCTTCCTTTTCCTACTAACCTATCCTGCTCTGAACTGAGTTCTTCTGCCTCTCATCTCTTACCTTTCACTCTGCTGCTTCCCCAGCCCCTCAGTCATTTGCACAGGAGTCCCCCCCACTCCCAATTCCTCTGGGCTTCCTCTTATCCCCCCACCCCTGGAAAACAAAAACAAAAAACTTCCAGACATTTACCCCACCTAAGCTGCCAGTCTCCTCCCCATCCTTGCCCATACCCCACAGGTTGCCGCCGTTGCTCAGGAGCATCTCTCTCTGGCCCCGTGGTGACGGTGGCCCAGGTCATCTGTGAGTGTCAGACCTAGCATAGGCAGAGGCCTGCAACCAGATAAGTGCAGGGCCCATTCCCAGAGTCTTTTCCCAGCCCCCCCTCTGGGCCCCAAGACTTCCCTGCAATGCTTACTGGGGGATACTGTGGGCTTGCTTTCCCCTGTTCTAACCACATACTTGCACATAGAGAACTAAGGAATATGGGATGAGGATGGACTGAAGGCCTCCCAGTTGCTTTTCTCTGCACAAGCAGAGTTGCTGTACACCACCAGGGATCCCTGTGGTGGGGAGGGAAGGAGTACTTTATATACTTCTAGCGCTATTCCCTGTGGTTACGACTAGCCTACCTTCTTAATTGTCCACAAGACTTAATTGCCACTGCTTCTCCCCAGGTTCTCAGCTTCCTTGCTTCCATGGCTCCAGTACCATTCGCAACCTCAAAGAGAGGTTCCACATGAGCATGACTGAGGAGCAGCTCCAGCTGCTGGTGGAGCAGATGGTAGATGGCAGCATGAGGTCCATCACCACCAAACTCTACGATGGCTTCCAGTACCTCACCAATGGCATCATGTGACACCCTTCTCAGGCCTAGTGGAGGACCTTTGCCTAAGAAACCCCAAATCACAAAACCCTACCTACCTAACCACCTGCCCAAGGGAAATGGAAGGCAAGAAATACAAAGGATCATGTGGTAACCATGAGAGCTTGCCAGAGGGTAGGAGAGCCAACTGTGGGGTCCAGACTTGCTGGGGTTTCCCCACCTCCTGCTGTCAGTATTACCACCTGACAGACTCCAGGACTCACTGCCCCCAGAGAAGAGGGGATCACCAACATGAGGAGGATGGGGGCCGCCTTCCCCTCTCCAGAGTCTCAGAGGTTCTTTCTACAAACTGGCGTGTCTTCCCTGGGTCCAAGCAAGCTGGGAGGAGGAGTGGGTTCCTGGTACCTAGGATGGAATCCTATGTTTGACCATGCTGCTGCCCATCTCCGTCCCTCCCAGGGGCTGGCCCCAGCCCACATTCCCCCTGGCAGGTGGGTTCTGCCGTAGGGTCCTGCACTTGCTGCAGTTCCCCGTCATGGGGTTAAGGAAGGGAATTGCCACAATCCCTCTAATATATTGAGGGTTTTGGCCTAGCCACGGGGAATTTCTTACCCTGATCCTTTCCTCACACCCAGGGATATAGCTCTCAATTTTTTTATTTTTAATTTTTGTTTGAAATAAAGTCCTTAGTTAGCCATCTGTGTCTTGTCTGAGTTGATTCTGGGGGTGGGGGTGGGTGGAAGGGGCTAAATCCAGCATACAAAAGGCACCACACACACAAGATGAAGATTACTTTTTCCATCTGTCTTGGTCAATACTGCCTCTTCCCTGAGAAGGGCTTCCCCAGTTCTGACTCACCCCCCATCAGTACACATTGTCCAACTCACATAAAAGGAAAAGCCTGAATGGGGATTAAACCACAAGCAGTTTTAATGGTCTGGTTTTCTCCCTCGTTCCTCCCACTGTTAGTATTATCACTACAAGAATAAAGGATTCCTGAGAGCCTGTCTTCTCTCCCTGGACCCCATTTGACAGGACTCATCCCCACCAACCCCCCACCCCTAGATTTCTGGGGGAAAAGACCAATGGAAGGCACTGCAGGGACGGGGCGGGGTGTTAGTGCCGATGAGTGTTAAGAGGGGGGGATACTAGGGCAGAGCCCGGCACAGAGGAAATCTAGCAGAGGGGTAGAAGCTAGACCCTGTCCATCCTTCAGTCTCCCCTGTGCCTGTGTCTAGCAGGCTTCCCAAGGTCCTGTCCCCCCACACCAGGAGGTCTGCAGCAGGAACATTAGTGTTGGATTCAGAAAGAAGAAAGGAGAGCCCACTTAAGTAGGACCCAGGGACCAAACTCAAGAGGAGGGGGGTGCAAGTTACTAGAATCCTCAAAAGCCTTCCCCTCAGGCAGAAAGAGAAGAATCAAAATAAATGTTACACTTCCCAGCTCAGGGAGGTGACAGCAGCAGTGAACCCAAGTTCCAGGGAAGAGGACTAGCCAGTCCTAGGCCTGGGACCTAGCTGTCCCCACAGCCTCCCTGCCGGGCCCTGATGAATGCCATACCATGCGTACGGAAATGGGTCTTGAGATTCAGAGGGCTATCACAGCTCTTGCCACAGACCTTACAAGTCAGAGGGCCTCCAGAAGCAGGCAAAGGTGAATCTCCACCCTCTGGGTCAGAGCGAAATGGAGGAGCCTCTTCCTCCCCATCCCCCAGCCCCAGAGCACTGGCTTTACCCCCAGCCCGTCTCTTCTTGTGACTAATGAACCGGTGGCGGCTCAAGGAGCCGGGGGAAGCAAAGCACAAGCCACAGTCGAGGCACTGCTGCGTGCCTCCATCCACCCTCAGCCCCAGCACAGCGCTCTGTTCGGCTGAGCCACTGCTCCTGTAGCGCAGAGGCCCGTGGCCTGCTGACCCAGGGCCACCCCTCAGGGGCTTGGCTGGCGGCGTTGTACTGTCAGGCTCCTCACTGCATGAGTCAGAAGACCGGCGGCGTTTCCGTCCTGGGCCCTGGAGAAGAGTGGAAGAAACTGGGCCTCACCACCACCCTGGCCAGCTTCCTGAGACCAGGGTCTCACTAGTTTCTCACTCCCATGACATAACATAAGGAGGGCCTCTTCCTACCTGGGCTCTGCCACCAGAGCCTCGCACCAGGGTGCCTCCTCTGCCAGAAGGGGACTGGGTCCCAAGGGGCAAGCCATGCCGGACTTGGACATGCTTCTCCAGGATCAGGCGACTACTGAAGGTGCGCTTCCCCTCTGTGCAATACCTAGCAGAGGTAAAGGGGCAGGGTGGACCAGAGACGAAGACCAAGACCCATAGCTCCTGAGAGAAGGAAGGCTGCCGGAGCAGAGGGAGGCCTCAACCTCGGATCCCTCAAGCAGGAAGCAGGTGAACAGGCACTCTGGGAGTAAGGCTCATCTACCAGGTAGGAAGAGGGGATGATGAGTAAGGGTTACCTGCATGGGTAAACTCTCTTGATTCCCTCATGGTTGACCCTGACATGACGTCTCAGGCTTGGGGCAGAGCAGAAGGAGCGCTCACACAGGCGACAGGGGAACTTTTTCACTGACTGGAGAGCAAGGATGGGAAATTTCACTCCCAGGTCAACTCCAGGGCTACCCTCCAGCCTCCCTTTCCCAGAGGAAACCGAGCTCACCTTGCCATGCTCCTTCTTCATGTGGGTCACATACTCATCCCGCTCAGGAAACCAGGAATGACAAAGGCCACAGGTCCAGCCCCCAGGCCCCCCACCCCCACCTTTGATGCCTTTGCTTCCCAGGTCTCGACGGGGTCGTTTGGTTGGGCGGGGAGGCTCAGGGGAGCTGGGCAGCTCCTCTTCGGAGGATGAGGAGGATTCCTCAGTAGCAGGGGCTGCCTCTGCCCGAGACACAGCTAGCTCCTCAGGTTCAGTCTTGGGGGTCAGAAGGGCACCTCCAGCCCCTTTCCCAACTGCCTCCTCCCCCAAGCGTCCAGACTGGTGAGTGTTCTGTAAGAGGAAGACAAGAGGAGTGCCTACTGGAGGAGAGCCTGGCTTTGCCAAAGTCCTCCCTGCTCCCTGCTCCCCACCGCCAGAGGCTTATGTGACCCTAGTTCAGGTCAACACAGCTAGCTAAGTACCCCGTCCCTAGCCCTTTGCTCCTCTGTACCTTGAGATGTTCCAGCATGGTCCTTTTCTGGGCAAAAAGCAGAGGACAAGATGGACACTTAAAGACGCTGACACGCTGGGGCAGCAGGTGCTGGTCGAAGTGTGAGGAGAGAAGCGGTTTGTGAGTGAAGACGGTGTCACACATGGCACACTTATAGATCAGCCTGTGGAGGCAGAAAGGTCGGTGTAAACCATCATGATGGGAGAGCAGAGCCCCACCCCCTCCTTCTTCTGTTCCCTCCCCAGGTCTCACTTGGCTTGCTGGGTGAGGAAGCTGGGATGTTGGGAGTAGAGGTGGGCATGGGCACTGGGCGCAGACTTGAAGGCCATGGGGCAGATGGGGCACTTGTGGAAAACTTCGCAGTGTGACGCCTGTATGTGGGACTTGATGGAGTTCACACCCCCAAACACCACTGCACAGCTGGGGCACCTGGGAGAGGAGGGAGGTACCGCGGTGAGGTCACCTGCAGCACCCCACTCACTCTTGAAGACTGGGTAGATGTCAAAGGAAATCACAAAGGAGCACAAGCAAGGCAGAGAAGGGAAGGAGGCCCAACTGTCCCCAAGAGTGGCCTGAGGAGGCAGAGCTGCAGTCCCGCCAGGAGCCCTGCTCTCCGCAGCCAGCTCTCACGGTATGGGACTAGATGCAGGGGATGACGTGTGCGTCAACACAACAGAGCCGAGGGAGAAGAAGAAGATGGTTCTCCTGGAGAAGCCATCTGAAAGGCTGCTGCTGAGGAAGAGGCCCGTAAGCTCTATGGGAGGGTGAGTCTGAGGCACCTGTATCCCACACGGCGCGAGAAGTGCAGACAGGCCTCTCGAAGGTGGGTCTGGAAATTGGCTTGTAGAAAGTTGCCCCCACACTCAGGACAGACGTGGGGGGGCCGGTTCTTATGTGTGCGCTGGTGGGCACTGAAGCTGCAACGATTGGGGAGCATCATGGGGCAGGATGGGCACACCTGTCGAGTGTTAAACAAGGTTACGCTGAGGAGGAGCGCCCTGCACCCCATTACTTCACCTAAGCAAGTTCCCAGTACCTTCCTGGAATTTAACTCCAGCGTGTCTGGCCGTCCCTCCCCAGGAGAAACGAGCGACAACTCACGTTGCTGGCAGACCCAAGCGCAGGAGGGCCCGGCTGCTGGAAGTGGGCTGCCAGGCCGGCCTTGCCCCGGCACTGCTCCTTGCACTCCAGACAGCGGACGCACGTGTAAACAGAGGCGGCAGGGGGCGTGGGGGGTTCTGTCGGGAGTGGCAGCACAGGGGCTTCAGTGGCAACTGTAGTAAGAGTAGTGGTGACAGCCCCCTCCCCCTTGCCCAAAACAGGCAAGGCCAGAGGTCCAGGAACAGGTGGGACAGCCACAGGCAGCAGGGGAGTGATGTCCGGCTGCCCCACCATCTGGTCAAGGGCTACAGGCCTCATGACCAAGTGGGAGCACTGCATGACAAGCCCCTTGTCCTTGTGCTCACGGGCATGCAGGAGTAGGCTACACTTGTTGAAGAAGACCAGGCGACGGGCACAGTGGTTACAGGTGACCTCTATACGCATGCTTCTACGATCATAGTGCCGTGCCAGGCTCTTCTCCAGGGAGAAGGCATCCCCACACTCAAGGCAACGGTAGCCTGTTGGAGGCAGGGCCAGGCCAGCCTCCGCTGGTGGACTCAGGTTCGGTCTATAAGCAGGCAGCAGGTTCTTGCTGTTGAGGATCTTGTTGAAGGCTTCTACCAGGCTGGACTGGGTCCGAGAGATCACTGAGCCGCCTGCTGTGCCTGGCGCAGTAACAGGCTTAGAAGGCTGGACCATCACCACTGAGGCGCCATTTACCTTCTGGCCCCCAAGGCCTAACCCTGTCCGCACCTCAGCCTTGGGCAGAGTTTGGGGTACCAGACCTAACACACTCTTAGCCATAGCCTTAGGGCTGGTGGCACTCCCCCCTGGTAGAACCACAGCTTTGCGGGCAACACTAGCTGCCATTAGCATGGCAGTACTAGCATTCTGGATGGTAGCCACAGGCAACACAGTACCTTTCAGCCTTGTACCATCACCCAATTGGACACTCACCACCTTTGGACCCTCAGGGGTTGGAGTTACAGGAGACAGTTTCAGGAAGCTAGCCTCAGCCAGGAAAGCTCCCTCAGCCAAAGGGGCAGGGGGATCAGGTTCTGAGGGAACCCGGGTGACAGTTCTTGTGATATTCCCACAGGACGTTTTAATAGTCTTGATCCGCACCTTGAGGGGCCGAGAAGAGCTGGAGGAGGTAGGGGAATCATTGCTGTCCTCGTCTGCCGCCTCAGCTCCACTAGAGGGGCTCTGGGGACTTCTTGGGGGAGACTTGTCCACTGTTGCCTCATCTTCTTCCTTCAGAGGTTTACAGCTGGATGCCTTTTCAGGGGAAGCAGGAGGGCTCTGGTGTCCTGGAGACTGCTTGAAGGACATTCCAGCCACCTGGGGAGGTGAGGCACTGGCAGGGACACCTGCTGCCTCAGGGCTGGAACCTGAGCTTCTCTGAGTCTGGCCCTGGGAATGGAGGGGGCTGCAGCTTTCCTGTTTCAAGGCCCCTTCTGGCAGGAGAGAACTAGGAGGCAGCAGGGTTGAGCCATTTTCTGGAGCCAGCTCAAAAGGAGTGGAGAAAGGAGGTGAGGTCATGTCACCATCTCGAGGTGAGGAAGGTTCAGGAGGTAGGGGATCTGGGTGCTCCCCTGGTTCAGACCCAAAATGAGCAAAGAGGTCCAAGGGTGTTTTGCCTTCTATAGTTTTTTCTTTCCAGGCATCTCCATTGGCAGGAGCTGGAGAATGGGGAGTTTCTGAGAGGGATGGCTCAGGACCCCCAAATCCATTTTGTATCAGACAAGATCCCATAGGTCCTTCCTTAGTTACACCCCCAGCCTTGGTCTCTTCTCCTGAATCCCCAGTCAGGGTCTCTGACTGCTCCGGACACACTGTGTTCTTGACAATAACACTGACTGTGGAAGTATCCGGCGGTTGTGGAAGGCCATGTTCAGAGGCCTCGGCTGGACTCTCAGGGTCATCCTTAATAGTTACTGTTGCTGCTCTGTCTTCAGAATCACCTCCGACACTGGGTTCTGGCTTCCCTTGGCCTCCTGGTCCCTCGTTTTCTTCTGGCCCAGAGTGAATGGCTTCATTTGCATCAATGTCAGGGATGTCAAAAGCAGCAAGGAGGTCATCAAAATCAGGGGTCTTCATGTCCCCCATAGCGACAGGTCCCAGACCTATAAAAACAGTAAGAGTGAGGAGAAACTGGGGTGTCTGGAATAGACACCTTAAACCTTCCTCTCTCAGTAACTCTGTACTTATCCCCTCCAACTTGGTAATCTCTACCATATTGAATGGTGAATCCTAGAGAGCTGTTTGAGGCATTCAGGGTGCCAACCCTAAAATCACGTTAGTGAGAAAACACCAGGTAGTGCCAGCATGAAAATCCAGAGAAAACAGGAGATTCTCAGAAATACAAAGAGTAACAGAAGTTAAGGGTTCTCAGACGGCATCTCAGCTGAAGCCAGGCACAGGACCAATTAACCGATAGGAATATTAAGGAGGATGACAGACACGATGCTCTAGGTTTCCATGAGTTAGCATGGGATCACTTCATATTCCTCATGGACATGAACTGGGGGTCCACAGAGGTCTGAAAGGCCATTCCACAAAGGAGCAGTGATTAAAGCTGGGGCTTAGATTGCTCTCCTTTAGCGTTATCCCTGCTGTTCAAGCAAGTTACTTCACTGCCTTACTTCTGCTGTTTCAAAGAGGAGACAAGGAATCTACTTATCAAAGTTCTTCTAGAAACTTAAAACTGTATGCATGAGTGTCAAATCCAGAATACAACTGATTATTGCAGCTGGGTCAAGTTGAAGACACGTGAGGTCAGGGAGACGCTGCCTTCCCTGGAGAGGAATACTACGACTAGGGTCAGAGACAGGAGTCGGAGGTCATCTGAAGTCGTGTGTGAAAGACCTGGAGCCCCAGCACGGTCAGCAGGGAGAAACAGATTCAAGGGAGGAAAGAATAAGACACAGAAAGAGGCAAAGAAAGGGAGGGGCATAGTCACAAGGGCCCCAGCTGAATCCTTCCCCGTCACAAACACCTGCTGCTTGCTCACCTACCTTCCCCAGAGTGTCTTTCCCCTCCCTCCCCCACCTTGCTCTCTCAGGGTTAAAACTCCAGGGTACAAGCTGATCCACATCGTGGCCACAATGGGGGAAAGCTCCTCCTTCCCACTGACATTTAATTGGGAGTTCCTCGCCTAGTCTACCTCCTAACTCAAACTCCATCTTCTTGGGCAACAGTAGCCTAGGAAGTCTCCCCCAATCTTAATCAGGCCCAGTAGGGATGGGGGGGACGGGGTGAGTCCCACAAGATTTATGTGTCACTAAAGCAACAAGGAGGCCAGCTCAGAGACCGGGAGACCCAAGCTCTATCCTCCATCAGTTCTTACGCATAAATATTTCTGGAGGAAGAAGCAATGGAGAAAGGACAAATTCGCTCCCCTTTACACGTTCCCTGCCCAGGATGCAAGCCATCTTCCCAGGGCCAATTCTCTCACCTCTTTCCAGCCTTCAGACTGTAACTGGAGATAGTCCCAGCAGGTGGCGGCTGGCATTGCACGGACCAAGGTGGGGGTGGGGGACAAGGGTACCAACTAGAGAAGAAAGGGGAGTCCTCCTTGCACGTAATTTTTTTACCCCCTCACTTAATTCTGCACAGGGCTTAACAAAGCCCTTAGTTCTTCCCAGATGAATCGCTAGGTCCCTCTTCAATTTGGCTCCCTCAAGTCGGGAGACCTGGGCTACCTTCCCACTCAAGCTCCCAGCAGAGTGGGTCGGTGGAGTACAAACCAATGGGGACTAAGAAAACACCTGCGAACTGCTCTCCCAACCACCTCCCTCTGGCGTGCAAGTGACTTGGAGGTCATCCGATAGCCACCTGGAGCAGACAGTGGGCCAAACAGAGAGGCTTAGGGCCGATGAAGATCCTCCCCTCAGCCGCCAGGCCTCGGGAGCTGCCATCTCCCGACCCTCTGTTCCCCAAAAGCAAAGAGAAGGGGCTTAACAGGAAGAGAGGGAACACACCCGGGTGGGGTGGGGGCTCCACTGCCCTCTGCCCAAGGCCTGCTGCGCAAAAGCCAAGCCAAGGGGCCAGGGCCCGGCCGGGGGCGATTAGGTTGCGGCCAAGCTGGGCAGCGGGCGACATTAAGTCCCTGCCATCTGCCAGGTACTGGCGCGGGAAGCAAGCCCGGGGTTTCGGGTAGGGGACGAGAAGTACATTAAAAAACTGGAGGGTAAACTGAGGCGAGTGGCGCTTCTTTCACTTTCACCGGCTAAGAACTCAGGGCAGGGCCTTGGCCAGGCCCGGCCCTTTAGGATCCGCGGCGCGGCACCTCGGGGGCCAGGACTCCCCGGCAGTGGGGAGTGGCACGAGGGGAGTGGAGACACATGAGGGGGCGGTCCCTGCGTGACTCCAAGCTCCGCAGCCGGGTCAGCTCCCACTCGAACCCGGTCCCCTTCCCCTCCGCGCACCGCGCAGCCTGGCCCGGCTCCGACCCCCACAGGCTCTCTCGAGACCCGAGTGACTGCGAGGCGCGCGGCGGGCTCGAGGCGCCCGCTGGAGTCCCGCCGGGGCCCGGACGCTGACCCGCACCCGGTCGGGATGCAGGCTCCGCTCTGGCTGGGCCCAGCTCCCCCGCCCCCACCGCCCGGCACGGACACCATTTTAGGTCGCGACATCCCGCAGCCTCCGGTCCCCCCGGCCGCACGCCGACTGCCTCTCGGTCTAGGAGAGCCAGGACTTAGGGGTCCCGGACCCCCCCCCCTCCCACGTTACCGGACTAGGGGCAGTGCTCTCAACAAGACCCGAGTTCCCACCAGCGGTCCTCCGGGAGGAAGGCGGCGACCCCGCCAGGCGAGCAGCCGCCCCAGGGGGGCGGCGCGCGGAAGGGGGTAGTGGACCAAGTGGGGGAGGGGCGGGGGCATTTACCCGCCCCCCCGGGGGGCGGAGCCAAGGGCGGGTATTTGTGGCGAGCACGCTTACTTGTTCCGATCCTAGGGCGGGCTGCGACCCCCCGGCCTCCAGCCGGTTCCAGCCGCCACCGCTGCAGCCGCCGCCGCCGCCGCCGCCCTCCCCGCGGCCGCCGCTACTTCCTGCTTCTCTCCTCTCCGGCCTCCCCTCTCCCTCGGCTCCCTCCGCGCTCCTGGTCCGGGCTGCCCGCTTTCATACTCGCCATTGGCCAATGGCCCCGTCGCTCAGCCCTGGGCCCCGCCCAGCCCCGCACGGGGTTGGCCCTCCGTACCCCGCTCGGAACTGGCCCCTCAGAGTCCTCTCACCGCGATTGGACGCAGGGCCGGGGCCCTGTGGAGAAGCCTCTCCTCATTGGCTGCCCCGGAGTCCACCTGCCCCATCTGCGTAGCTCGAAAGCCATTGGCCGCCGGCGCTGTCGCTTAGCAGGAAGCCTGCCCGAGGCTCCGCTTTGGGACGCCGCGAGGGGCGACTAGCCCAGAAGCGTGGCCGGCCCCTCGCTATTGGTCGCTCGAAGCCGGCCGCTCGCTGCTGCGCCTCATGTAGGCAAACTTAGCAACTCTAGCTGTGCGGCCGCGCGCCGAAGGGGAGCTCGTCGGCTTCGTGCGGGACCTGCGAGTTTTTTAAGTGTTCGGGTCGTTTCCTCAGGCTGAGCCGCGCGAGCTCAGGGATGCGGTGCAGGGGGTCACGCAATGGGGTGCCACCCCCAAACATTACGTCACCGGGGTGAGCGTCCCCCTCGCCATCCTCGCAGGGTCTCAGTGGCTTTATAATCCGGACGGATGCGGTTCTCGCGTGGGTCAGCCTCCGGGCGCACGCAGCACGCACAGCTCCTCCCTCTGCGGGAGAGCCGGACAGGCCGTGGGCTTCAGACTGTGGAAGAAACCGGAACCCGGGACCTGGGACCCGAGACGCGCTGCGGACCGGAAGTGGGCGAGGTGACGTGGGGAGTGCTGGCGTGGCCTGGGCCACATCCAAAGAGCTTAAGGTAGTATGCTGATAGGCCTCCACGCGAGAGGAGGAGGGAGCCGACACCTACTTCCCATTTAAGAGAGCTCTTCTTCCCCGCCCCCGGCACGGGCTGGCGTTCCTGGTCAGGTTGAGCTTTCCCGCGCTTTGCGGCTCCGCCCCCTGGGGGCGGGGAAAGGGGTGGAGTTGCTGGGGAGATGAATTGCCTTGACACTGTCCCATCTGCACGCTTTCGCAGGATCCATCTGCAAGCCCAGTGTGCCACCTGGCGCACACTCTACAGCCTGGCTGCGCGCCGCCGCCGCCCACCGCGAACACAGCCGCTCCGAACAAGGGTTTTTTAAGATTGTGTGTTCTTTTCACTTTTTGCGGCGTTGGGAGTGGAACCCGGGGCTTCGCTCGTTCCAAGCAAGCTACCCGCCCACTTAGCACCGTGTCGAGTTTTTTTGTTTTAGCGATACCGAGGAATGAACCTAGAGAGTCGCACATGCTAGGCAAGTGCACTAACACTGAATCTATACCCCGTCTCTCACTTTTTGAGTCAGGGTTTTCACCAAGGTTGTCGTCCTGCCTGCCTAGTAACTGGGGCTACACTGCTGCGCCACCAGGCCCAGAGTTTGGTAAAGCTTTTAAAAGGAAACTATTACCTGCCCTTGGGCCTCATAGCATTAGTCCCAGAAATCTCAGGCGCCTCCTGGAAGCTATTTGTGATTATTAAGGCTGCAATGCCGAAGTGTGACTTGGAGCTTCTGGATGGGAATCTTGGAACCACCACATTCCACATGATGGCATCAGGCAAGTCATTCTATGTCCCTGAACCATTCTACGTCCCTATTGTCTCATGAATAAAATGGTAATTATAATATCCACCTGCCAAGATTATTTTTGCAAGAATGAAAAGCTTAGAATGCAGAAGTACTGTTTATGATAACAAGCGGATGCACGCAGCCTCCACCTCACCTGCCATCTCTCTCTGCAGGTACCACAGCTCAAAGCACTCTTCTCTCTAATAACTAATTGAGAGTTCTTTACTGGAGAGCTAAAGACGTGGCTCAGTTGGTATTTTAGAAACCTGGGATGGTGGCTCATGCTTACAATCCCAGCACTTGGGCAGTGGAGGCAGGATTATCAAATTCAAAGATAGGGAGTCTGATGCCAGCCTGGAATACACGAGACTCTTGAGTCCAACAGGAAAAAAACAGTCCCCTACTGGATGTAACCAACCTGCATTCTCTCTCCACGTCCTCTTCTGGGTCTCCCTATAGGTTTAATAATTACTATTCACATATATTATAATTAGAATTTTATGTCAACTCATTTAATCCTTACCACAACTCTAGAGGAAAGTATGATTGTGTCCATTTTATTGAGAGGGAACAAGCACAGGCAGGCCAGATTAACTGACTTACACAAAGTCAAAAACGGTGGAATTAGAATTTTGAGAGTCCAGAAGGTAGATGATGAACTGCAGGCAGATTCCTTTTACCAAGAGAGTTCTGGGTAGAAGTTTGTTCTTCAATTAGATGTACTAGTCATGTGTTTAGGGAATACTTTTCAAACTATGTGCAATGGTAGAAATCTTGTATCCCAACACCTGGGAGGTGAAAGCAGGAGGAGCAAGAGTTCAAGGCCAACCTCAGCTACCTAGCGAGTTCCAGAGTGTACAGTTACTTTCTGTTGCTGTGGTGAAACACCACGATCATGACATCTTACAGGGAGTTGATTTGGCTTATAGTGCCCGAGAGTTAGCATATGACAGCAGCGAGTGGCAGGCACAGAGTGTGGGGACAGGAACTGGGAGCTCACATCTTGAACTGCAGGCAGGAAGCAGAAAGGGAACTGGGAATGGTGAGTCTTTAGAGCCTTCCCCCAGTGACATACTTCGTCCAGCAGGACCACACTTCCTAACCCTCTAAAACATCTCCATCAACTGGGGATCAACTATTCAAGTGCCTGAGACTTACATGAGACCCTATGACCAAAATGAGAGAGAGGGGAAAAATGGTTTAATTCAGCTAATACTTCATAAGCACCATCTGTGAGTTACGCACTATTTAGGGCACTAGAGATACAGCGGTGAACACGGTAGACAAGGGTCCCTGCCGTGTTTTGACTGGAGAGATGGCTCAGCAGTTAAGAACACTGGCTGCCTTTGCAAAAGACCAAGTTCAGTTCCCAGCACCCACATGGAGGCTCACAACTGTCTGCCAGTCCAATCCCAGAGGTTCTGACACCCTCTTCTGGCCTCCATAGGCACTGCACGTGTGGGACACAGATACACACAGAACATCCATAAACACAAAATGAAAGAAAAAAATAGAGCCCTGGTGTGACCTGGGCATTCTTACAAATCTGAGGTCCAAATACTGAGACAAGCAGGCTCACTTGAACCCAGTTGTCCCATCCAGCCTGGTCTAGATAGTGAGATCCTGTCACTAAAATAATAAGTAAAATATATAGAAGCATATTAGAAATGATATTTGCGCCGGGCAGTGGTGGTGCACGCCTTTAATCCCAGCACTCAGGAGGCAGAGGCAGGCAGATCTCTGTGAGTTCGAGGCCAGCCTGGGCTACAGAGTGAGTTCCAGGAAAGGCACAAAGCTACACAGGGAAAAAAGAAAGAAAGATTTGCCAGAAGAGAAAGGGGGTGGGTGACAAAGCAGTGAACATTCATGAGTTTCCTTTAAATGCCTATTATCATTCATAATTGAAAAGAACATTCTGAGAAGTCTGCCGACCGTATAGTCTAGCTCTATGAGATTCTAGACAGGGAAGGACAACAGGGACAATAGACCAGTGGTCCCAAGGGCTCAGGTGGAGGGAAGGATGATGAGGTCGTGCACAGGAGACTTGATGGCATTGAACTTCTGTAAGACACTGTACTAATAGACACATGACATTCTGCATTTGTCAAAATCCATAGATTGGACACAAAGGGTGAAGCTTAATGTAAATTCATTAGTTAATTCTAGTTAATAATAATGCCTTGATATGTGGGGCAGGAGAAGTGGTTCAGTGGTTAAGAGCACTGGCTGCTCTTCGAGAGGACCCAAGTTCAATTCACAACACCCACATGACAGCTCACAACTGTCTAGTTGTGCCAGTTTAAGGGGATCTGACACCCTCACAAAGACATTCATGCAGGTAAAACACCAATGCACATAGTATTATTATTATAAATAGTATTATTTATTATAATAGTATAATATATAATATTATTTAGTATAATAGTATTATAAATCATTATAATAATAATGCATCAATATGATTGATCAGTTGAAAGAAATGTACAATGATTCAAGAGATAAGGGAAACTGATGAGAGAGAATGTATGGACACTACCTGCATTTTTTGCCCATTTTTTCTATAAACTTAAACATCGATAAAAAACAAAATTTCAACCGGGCAGTGGTGGTGCACACCTTTAATCCCAGAAGCAGAGGCAGGTGAAGGTTTCTCTGAGTTTGAAACCAGCTTTAGAGCAAGTTCCAGGATGGCCAGGGCTATCCAGAGAAACCCTGTCTCAATAAACCACTGGAAAAAAAATTCAAAACCAAGAATGTCTTCAAATTCAAAAACAAAATTTCAGAGCATGAGAGGGAGCCAGGAAGTGTGCTAGGGATGTCGTTTTGGACGGGTTAGATGAGTGAAGGCTTTTCTAATAAGATTGCAATTAAGTGGTCCCAGAAGAGCCCACCGACTATGCACCTATCTGGGTCAAGAACATTCGAGGAAGGAGGTATGAAAGGTTCTTAGGTGGGAGTGTGAAACAGAGGGCTCAGCAGATGGGAGGGGTGAGTCAGGTCATGGGGTAACCTGAAGGCTATTTAAAACGTCTTTTCTGCTTGGCAGATGTGGTGGCGCACACCTTTAGTCCTAGCACTCGGGAGGCAGAGGCAGGCAGTTCTTTGTGAGTTTAAGACCAGCCTGGTCTACAAAGAGTTCTGGAACAGCCAGGGCTAC